CAGATGGAACGGAACTGGAAGGTGCCAACTACCTACTGGAGAGACAGTAATCTTTCCGGCCACCTAGAGGACAACCATGAGCACACCGAGGGAGTGGCCATCATGATGTCACCAACAGCAGCCAAAGCTCTCATGCAGTGGGAACCAATCTCCTCCAGGATAATGACAGCCAGGTTCAACTCAAAAGGAAGGAAAGTTACAGTCATTCAATGCTATGCGCCTACAAACGTCTCAGAACAAGAGAAGAAGGAGGCGTTCTACAGACAACTACAAGCAATAATGGACAACGTCCCAAATGGCGATATCAAAATCCTGATGGGCGACATGAATGCGAAGCTGGGAGGAGACAACACAGGAAGAGAACTCACCATGGGTCGTGAGGCCCTCGGTGAAATGAACGACAATGGTGAACTCTTCTCAGACTTCTGCGCCTTCAATGATTTGGTGATTGGCGGTAGTGTGTTCAAACACAAGGATATACACAAGACGACATGGATTTCACCAGATGGAAACACCAAAAACCAAATAGACTTCATCTCAATTTCAAGAAAGTGGAGACGGAGCCTACTGGACACAAGGTCAAGGAGAGGAGCAGATGTGGGTTCAGACCACTATCTAGTACAAGGGACTTTCAAGGTGAAACTAAAAGCCTCGAGGATAGCTGGGGATAGGCCACAATGCAAGTTCAACACTCAACACTGAAGGACACAACCACAAAAGACACTTTCACTGCAACTGTCAGAGCAAAGCAGGAAACACTACGCGACATCACTGAAGAATCATGCGTGGAAGAACATTGGAAGTCTCTGAAGGCGATTCTCAACGAAACGTGTTCAACGGTTCTAGGAAGAAAGAAGAGACAAGACAAGGAATGGCTCTCAACGGACACTTGGAAATTAATAGAAGAGAGGAGAATGGTGAAAGAGAAAATGATTCAATGCAAGGACGGACAGGAGAAGGAGACGATGAGCTCAACTTACAAAGCACTGGACAAAGAAGTGAAGAAGAGTGCTAGGAAGGACAAAAGACGATTCTACGACAACCTCGCCACTGAAGCTGAGAAGGCAGCAGGCAAAAGGGACCTGAGGACACTATATCAGATAACCAAATCTCTATCCGGGAAGAGACCAACACAAGCGAAACCTATAAAAGACAGCCAAGGGAACCCAATTACCAAGGAAGAAAAACAGATTAAACAATGGGCGGATCACTTCAAAGGACTCTTGAACCGACCATCACCTGCAACCCGTCCAGAAATACCAACAACAGCGCGCACACAACTGCAAGTTGACACCAATCCTCCAACGAGAGCTGAAGTCTTGAATGCAATCAAGCTTCTGAAAGCTGGAAAAGCAGCCGGACCAGATGGAATACCCCCTGAAGCACTGAAAATGGACCCAGAGACGACAGCAGACATGCTGACTCCATTATTGCAAAAGGTCTGGAAGGAGGGAAAGGTGCCTACTGACTGGAGGAAAGGTTACCTCGTGAAACTACCAAAGAAGGGCGACTTAGGCCTCACTCTGCAAGAACTGGCGAGGAATCATGCTCCTATCGACGCCAAGTAAAATCCTGAGTCGCATCATCCTGGAGAGATTAAAGGACGCACTGGAGACAGAACTCCGACCAGAACAAGCTGGATTCAGGAAAGGCAAATCATGTACTGACCAAATTGCAACTCTACGCATCATCATCACAGAACAAAGCATGGAATGGCAATCAAACCTCTACCTCAACTTTATAGACTTTGAGAAGGCCTTCGACAGCGTTGATCGTGAAGTAATTTGGAAATTACTCGAGTACTATGGCGTACCCCAAATATTCATCAACCTTATTCAACAGCTGTACGACAACGGCATGTGTCAAGTGATCCACAACGGAAAACTCAGCGAGGCGTTTGGAGTAAACACAGGAGTCAGACAAGGGTGCTTATTATCACCAATGATATTCCTAATTGTGGTGGACTGGATTATGCGTCAGACAGTGGGAAACGAGAAGACAGGAATATCCTGGACCGACGTGAAGAACCTAGAAGACCTGGATTTCGCGCGTGGATGATTTATGTTTGATGTCACACACAATCGAAGACTTACAAGCGAAAACCGACAAACTGGTCGAAGAAGCAGCGGGTGAAGACAGGACTCCAGGTGAACATAGACAAGACGGAGGTTATGAAAATAACCAACCAACAACAGCAACAGTATCCAACGTCAATCACCATCAACGGGAGGGATTTGAAAGAGGTTACTTCATTCACTTATCTAGGGAGCATTGTCTCAACTACAGGAGGAGCGGACGAGGATGTCAAATCGAGAATCGGGAAGGCGAGAAACACATTCATCAACCTGAAATCAATCTGGAAATCTTCGTCACTCAGCATCACCAACAAAATTCGGATTTTCAATACAAACGTAAAGTCAGTTCTTCTATACGGATCAGAAACTTGGCGGGTGGGTCACAAAGAATATTTCCAAAAGGCTGCAGACCTTTATTAACAACTGTCTTCGCTCTATACTGAAGATCAGATGGCCGGAAAGAATCACCAACAAGGAATTATGGGAACAAACAAAGCAAGAACCAATCGCCAAACAAATATGCAGGAGAAAGTGGAGATGGATCGGACACTCGCTGAGGAGACCGCTGGGTGACATCGCGCGTCAAGCCCTCGAGTGGAACCCGAAAGGGAAGCGGCGTGTGGGACGTCCAAGGGTGACATGGAGGAGATCGTGTGAAGAGGAGTTGAAAGAATATGGACTAACATGGATGCAGGCGAAAAGTACAGCAGAGGACAGAAGAGAATGGAGACGTACAGTTGAAACCCTATGTTCCACTAGGAACCCAAAGGAGCGACAATAATAATAATAATGTAATATTGTGAATAGTTTGATGAAAGAGTTGTGCTCAGGGTATACATTGAAACAAAATAATATATGGAATTACACAAGGGTTTTAAGTAGTTAGAAAATAAGCATACAAACAAAAGTTAAGTCGAATCAAACAAACAAACGAAAGTTAAGTCAAATGAACAGAGTTGTTACCATGAGGGTAGAAGTGGTTGAGTAATTTTCTTTTGTATGTATAGTTCTGGTTCCTCCAACTGGATTGCCAGCTAGGGCTTCTGCAATACAAGGAAGACGGAAATGTATTGTCTTTGGAAGGCTGTTCTTCACTTTGTAGAATACTTTGAAGGAGAAGGCGTTTGTTGAGATGGAATGACCAGTGGTGACGAGATGTTCGATTATTGCACTCCTTATATGGCCACTACTTCCTTTCTGCAGCCATGCTGGATAGTGCTCTTTGACTCTTTTTAACAGGATGCGCGTTGAACGACCGATATGCCTGGCTCCACAGCAACAGGTGAACTAATATATACACACATAGAAGTAGTCAGGTGCAGGATCTTGTCCTTTCGGCTTCTGTAGATCAGAGGGCGACTGGGGAACACTACTCTCAATGTTGCCGGTAAGAAAGTTCTTCTTAAAGAAGTCGAAATTCGCCTCCTAAGGATATCACTTTGAAAGAGGTGTTTGTTGACACAGAATGATCAGTATTGACTAAGTGTTTGAGTATCGCACTACTCATACAGCCACTACTGCCTTTCTGTAAGCATGCGGGGGGATAATGTTCTCGAACCCTTTTAGACAGGATGCGCGTCGAATGATTTAAATACCTGACTCCAGAGCAACAGGCGAGATCAGTACAATAAAGGCTTTTGCAAACCTATGGATGACTGGAGAATACTATTATTAGAGTTGCTGCAAAGAATATTCTTCCCAAAGACAGAAATTCTTCTCCTCAGGATTTTGTAGGTTGATTTCCTTGAAATCCAGCTTGATGTAAAGTTTCTTTTCTGGAAATGCCTCAAGTGATGCGCTTGCCAAATCTTCAAACTATATTGGATCACGCATTCGACACTAGTGTTGAAACCCAGGTCTTGTTCTGTGTGCTGAATGAATTCCTGCCTTACATTCGTCGAGTGATTCTTGCTGCCTTTAAGACTGATATGGATTCACCTTCAAATCTATAGAATAATCTGAGTAGAACAGTAGGTTATAAATATTCATTAGGAAGCTGATTTAATGCTACCGCCGTCTTATGCCATGACACATAAGGAGTTGACAACCTTAGTTACAGGTTGACAAATAATCAGGATTAAAAGTCACATCTAACAAGCATCATATGAAAAATGTGAATGACTACTTAATATAAAAAAAGATGTATAGGAAAATTATCTGAACCGTAAAACAATTTCTTCGTTATGTGCAACTGGAGACGCAATTCTTTAGTCTATGGGACGGAATTTAAATTGCCTACATAATGCCTATTTATCGGCTAGTCAGAGAAATGACCAATCAGATTTCAGCCCTTTTTGATAGGCGCTCATTAGACGTCCTATGCTGCCGTATGGCTCGTATTGACGAATATTGTTATCACCATTATAATTACTATAATAACTATAAACATCTGCCTTATGGTTAAACACCAGAAGGCTAACAAGTAACGCCAAAGATTCCAGTTTAACTCCTCACCAATGCAATCCTAAATCTCGACTTGTAATCCCGGAAAAGAGTGGTGATTAAGCCTGAAGCTTTCAATTCCACCTGACAGAAAACTCTACCGCTACTGAGATTTCAAATCCGAAAAGTTGGAGCTCTATGTTCCAATATGCTTTCATCTCCTGTTCATATGATCGCTTCCATGTCACCGTCGGATGCCCAACTCTCCGCTTCTTATTTCGGGTTTCACTCAACAGTCGGACATGTGATGTCACTTGAGTGTCTTCAATCTATCTGCACTTCCTGATGCATGTGATTTTTCCTAGTTTAACTGATGTATATTCAAAATAATTACAAAGCCTTTGATCAATGCTCAATTGCTTTCACAAATTCACATCAAAGTTACACTATGTTGCTCCATTTGACCAGTTATATAACAGACGAGTACTGTTTTGATGCATTTTTTTGATTTCTTCTTGTATTTTTCAAAATTATTTTTTTCAGTTTCATAATGTATCTGTGTGTTTTCAAGCCCTACAACAACTCGGTATTGAAACTGATGAATTCACTGTACAAGGTAAGCTGAAATTAAGTGAGGTCATTGTCATATTCAACGGTCGGATCTGTGACACTTTTAACTGAACACATTTAACAGGTGTAGTTTCTGGCGGTTTTGCCAGATTTCACAAGCTTTCTTCAATTACTGTTAATGAAATCAATAATGTAATGGTTGATTGATAAAGTTTTCAAAAAAATGGATACTGAACAGAGAGTACTCATTTCGATAACCCCTACTTCATCAGGCTCTACAGTTATATATACATTATAGTGAATGAATCAATTAGTGTTATGAACAACATTATTGTTGCTGTTTAAATAACATCGAATCAATAATATTGATGGATTAAAGCTGAATAGCACCAACATAAAATAACCTGGATGTCAGAAAAATTAGGAAAGATAATATTACAAATTCATGAATTTATAGTCTCTACTGAAGGTTAGCCTGGACAGTAGTAGTGGCTGCCTGAACTTGCTTCTTTTGAACACAGAGCACTGGCTGTTTGACGTGAATTGCAATAGCCTCTGCTGTTTGTAGCATGCGATGCTTCGATGATTGGCAATTTATTAAACAACCGGAAGATGATAGAGAAGGCTTCTTCCACGCTGGCTTTGTGGCCGGTTTGTACCAGATGGTCCAATATCGAACTGTTAATGGTTTTCACTACACATTTACTTAGCCGTAGTGGGAGATGTTCTCTAGTGAGCACGAAAAATCAAGCTCCTAGAGCAACGGCCAATATAACTCGCTCCACCGCAAGCGCAGTTGAATTGGTAAATACAATCTGAAGTGGCTAGTCTAGTCTAGGTACTTCATCTTTCAGTCGAGGTAGCACCAACGGTTGTGTAGAGAATAAGATGTGTAGTTCACCAGCATTAAAAGTTCTTAGAACTGATTTTCTTAATTTCTTCGTAATTATTTCACTTGGTATATCGCCCTTGAATTATAGTCGTACATATAGTGATGGTTTTGCTAATAGTGACCTTGAACTGATTAGCTCAAGGTTATTTCATTTAGGACACAGGAAATATTGCAGCTGAAATTAAAGAAGTTACCAGTGACTTGAAGTTAGAAATTAGGGGTACCCATTGGTATGTACAGAAGATTTCAAGTTATACACATGGCATTAGAGGTCACAATGATGATTAGACGTTGGCATTTCCAACAACAGATGCTAAACTCCACTTTCAGTAGGAATATGACCACTCATTTAGCTGTTGTGTATCGAATACGATGAAAGGCATACCTTGAATTCTGCTGTAATTTTAACATTGTTCCAGTTGAATCGATGTCCATATTTGTGTATGTGAGTCGATATTTAACGAATGGATTTTATGTCTTTCCGCTGATAAATTTATTTGGACAATATACAGTCGGATTTGTAATTGTGTGTAGAACAGCGGAGTTGATTAAGCTGCCTGTTTAAATTACTGGGCTATCAGAATTTCCGTCCATCAAAATGCTGTTTAATCTTAAGAGAAACGCTTACAGAACCAGCGCCATCACACCCCAATATCGTCGGTAATTGTTTATCCTCATACTCCCTAATTAGTTGACCTCACTGGTTACAATTCAGCAAAACTCATGCCCCCTTAGTGACTATCAGAATAATTTGCAAGTGTCGGACTCCAGGGATTCGATTATGCTTTCACTTTTTTGACATGTTTACAGCACTGAATGCCAGATGGAACCTGATCTCTCATGAAATAATTCAAAGTTCATGAGTAAAACTCAGTTAACTCTATTGTTTTGATATCAGTTAGAGAACCATTGAAAACGAGATAAGGAGTACTGGACAGCTGTTTCACCTCTAGTTTGGGAATCATAGTCAGTACACACCCACCGCCGAGTTTCGAACCCAGGATCTTCCAATTACAAGGCAAGCGAGCACGTTATGCATTCAGCCACTGGGATCCAACTTAATAACCAGCCCACGAATTCTAACTTCCACCAATTCGTAATTTTAACGCAACCACCATGCAACCATCCTCACTTTCAGCTGGATAGAAAAATTAATTTGGTACTAGTCATTGACTGGATCCACGACTGAGTTTCCTGCACTTCTATTGAGAAGTCGTGACCAATGAGGGCCATCCAGTCAAGTGTGAGGATGGATGTCCCAGCGATGACATCAACTGGTGGTCGCGCTTAATATCACGATATGATGGAGAAGATTTGTAGCTCAGATGGATGATTGATTTTGATGTGGTTGTGTTCTCTGAGCTGGATGGTTAATTTGCAAAGCTTTCATCGCCCTGCTAGGCGACACCTTCAACGCTTACTTCAATGAGAAGTTAGATTTTAGATTTCTTCATGAGTTCATTAATCATCTCTGCTGGTGACCTTGGACCTCATTGGTTTATCTATTTCGAGATCGGCAAAACTTATCAATCAATAAGAAAGAAACCTCACACACACACAAAGGGTCAAAGTTCAAGTCAAAGAAACAATCAGTTCCAATACCACAAGTAGCCTAGAAGGTGTGAAAGCACACAAAGACAACAAGTCACGTTCAAGATGCCCACCAGGAGAGATAATTAATAAACCCGTGGAGAAATCTAAAAGCTCCCTTCTCATCGAAGTATGCGCCGGACTTTTCGCTTAGTAAGGTGATGAAAGCTTCGCAAATTAACCATCCAGCTCAGAGAAGGCAACCGCATCAAATAAATTAATATCACCGATTGGTAGAAGTTAGAATTGGTCGACTCTCCATTGAAGTGGGTCCCAGTGGCTGAATGATATACAAGCTTTCCATGTAACCGGAGAGCCCTGGGTTCGAACCCCCCTTAGTGTGGTTGCATACTACCGATGATCCCCAAACAAAGATGAATTAGCTGCTCAGTACTCCCTGGTTTTCAGCGGTTCTCTAACTCATATCAATCCGTGATCAACTCGTCAAAACATATCTAATCCTTACAGACCAACCATTGAAAAAAGAGAACTCTATTGTGAAAGTAACCATCAGTAGTAGTATGATGAGCAGTTATCACTATTGTCAGTATAAGTATATATTTTTGAAGACCATTTTAAAACATGTGATGTCTAACACGCACGCACACCCCCCACCCGCCACCAAATCCCCCTCTCACTTTCTTTCTGTCTTTTCCTGTCTCTTTTCCAGACATTGTTGATGGTAAATTAAAACACATCCTCAGTTTATTTTTCAATCTGTCAAAATTTAAACAACACTTAAAACAATTAAAAGTATCAACAGAACTATCTTCACTCCCCCACCGCCAACATCACCAACACCAACAGCATCAACCACAAACACCACAATCAATATCATCCAAGTTGCCGACTTCTCCTTCTTCATCCTCTTCTTCTCCGTCAATGATCAAAGCGAAAACTGACATTACTCATGGAAACAAGACAATATTGTCGAATCATTCAACAATTAAAGAAAAACAAACCTTACCAAATCAATATCAGAAACAATCGAACAGACCGCCAAAACCACCGCCACGTTTTATGCCTTCTAGTCCATTAAAACAAATTAATAATTATTTAATCAATGATGCTGAACAAAAATCATCAACTACTCATGACAATATAAGTAGTATTAGTGGAGGAAGTAATAGTAATAGTAGTACTAGTAATACTCACAGTCATAATAGAACTAAAAGTCTTCCATTATATCATCAAGAAGTTTCATGTGATGAATTATCTTCAAGACAAATAAAAAGTCCAAATATTCATATCACTACTACAGTTATTACTACTGCTAATGCTACATTTAGTCAAAATTCAATTCCTTCAACATTGAACAGTGCCAATTATCAAAGTGGAATTAATGCATCATTAACTTTTACTAAATCAAAGTAAGCAATTTAAATTGTCCACTTTTGTCAAAAAAATATAGTTATTATTATTATTACTATTTTTACAAGTTGATCATGAATTGATATCAGTTAGAGAACCATTGAAAACTAGCTGGGAGTACTAGACAGCTGTTCTCTTCGTTCTAGTGTGGGACCTCACTGGTTAAGACTTCTCACTAGAATTGCTTGACTGCTAAGTTAGACTACTTCGTGTACATATATTCCCCGAGGTGACTGAAGATGAAATGTTTTTGTGAATCGTTTATTTCTCTTTTCCTATTGTTCAGTCTCACCAAAAAAAAGCCCTCGTTTGAATTATCATGGTTTCTAGTAAGCGGATCTACGACTACTTACCAGGAAAATGTGGATAATTAAACAAATTAAAATAAATGACATCACCTCTAAATCTATCCCTAGTCGTAACCCTTCCCTTAGTCCTGACCCCAACCTTAATTACAACCCTTATCATCATTGAAAGCCTACCTACCAAAGCAAAAGCCACCAAGGAAAGCACAAAGAAAATTGCCTTACCATATATAAAAGATATCTCAGAAATCACTACAAGACTCTTCAAACCTTTAGGAATTGACGTCGTACACGAACCAACAAAATCACTTCACTCAGTTGGCTCTTTGTCAATCAAAAGACTCAACAGCGAAAGAAGATAAAACCAACATCAGTATCTACAAAATAAACTGCAACAACTGCGAAAAACACTACATTGGCCAAAGTAGACTCCCCTCCTCTTCGCCTTCGTATCCACGATCATAAGCTAGCCGTCAAAAGACATGATATCCACTCCCTCATATCACTCACTGCATACAGACAACCACGGACATCAATTCGACTGGGACAACGTTCAAATATTAGACAAAGGAAATAACAAGAATGCTAGAGAATTTTTAGAAGCCCGCCTGGCATTCCAGTGGATCATCAATCAATAGACACATCGAGATAGACAAAATTTATCAACCAATAAGAAAGAAACTTCACACACAAAGGGTCAAAATTCAAGTCAAAGAAACAATCAGTTCCAACACAAGTAACCTAGAAGGTGTGAAAACACACAAAAACAACCAATCACCTCCAAGGTCACCAGGAGAGATGATTAATAAACTCGTGGAGAAATCTAAAAGCTCACTTCAAATTGAAGTATGCGCTGAAGATGTCAACCAGTAAGGTGATGAAAGCTTCGCAAACTAACCATCCAGCTCAGAGAACAAAACCACATCAAAATCATCCACCTGAGCTACAAATCTTCTCTATCATGTCCAAATAGTACTTAAAAATGTGAACTGGGTGAAATTTTCTCCTTAGTTGGTGAATAGCGTTGATATTTCAGTTATGATAATGACAGGTACCTTTAGCCAACAACTGGCATGCGTTCAAGGTCATTGGTCATTCGTTCGCACTCCTGGGACGCTATTGTTGAACTTCGTCAACTTTAAGAGTTTGTTTTAAATTCGTATTGAGGAAATAAATGTTTCCAATTCATGTTAATTCATCAGTCTTTTGACTAACAAACGCTAAATCGCCAAAAAGAATTACCGTCTGCTCAATAATCTGTTGACATCTAAGAAGGAAAATGTCGTGTTTTTTGGACTTCATTGAACAAAGCCATAAATCACTGAGATTCAGAAGCGTATTTAGCTGTTAAATCCGAAATAGTACAAAACTCATATTCTCGGTTCCATTTGTTTTTACCACCTAAACGATAACTTAGATTTAAGCAGTTATCTCAACATTTATTTCGCCTGTCGAAGATGGTCGTCCACAGTGAATTCAGACGAATAGATACGCGCATGTTTCTATGCATGATGCATTTACTGTACATTGTGCTTTTCCATAAAATACAATCCTGTTAACTTGAACGTGGATCAAGATTCAAAATACATTTCATGGGATGAATTTATCGTTTTCAAAATTTCATGTGTACACCCACTCATTCATGGGCAAAAAATAATTCCCTGAAGACTCCTTAAGGTAAGCTGTCATTCTGTGACTGGGGAAAGTAGAATCTTGAATGTGAGTGTCGTCCTATTCAGGAACTTACCAGCTGAATATATCTCAATCTAAGTAAGTTAACACACGCACAATGTTTTCCCTTCTATATTTCATCAAGTTATACAGCAGACTGCTGGATCATTTATTTCTTTATCATGACGCAGGCCAATTAGGCTAAAGACTCTTGAGTCGGATGAAACGGGAATAGTGGATTCTTTTGATAACTAAGTCAACGATAGCATGTGCTTTAATGAGACTGACAAATTCATTCAATGCAAAATCAACTACTTAATAGCAGTATTAAGTAGTAAAGTATTAAATATGCAAATATTGAAAATCTTGAGGATGAAATCCTACACACTGGAATAACATTTGTGTTGTTGAAATGTATTAATTTTGTTTTATTTTTGCCTGTGATATGAGGTTCATCACTGACTGCAAGTCAGTATGCATAGGAACATTCACTTTAGAGTAATGTTTGCTGTTAAATAGTTGAAGGTAATCGGCAGGAGGCCTTCCACCTAGGTTTCGTGCCCCTTGGCACTCACTAGTCAGCAAGGCTTATCTGCAACCTTGAAGGAACTCATGCTCCTAATGAGATTGGAACACGCGTCATCCAGTGACGCAGTGAGCCAGAGACGTTACCACTGGGATATTCAGGCTCACGATTGACTTCCTGTAGGACTATATTGGATATTTTTGATTTTACACTGGTCTGTAACTGACTAGTGTTGGCTGACGAGTGCTGACAAGTACAAAACCTAGGTGAAAGGCTTACTGCGAATTTCCTTCAATCATTTAATACAGAAAATTCAAAATGCAACGAAGATAGGACTAGACACATTACACAAGTTACTAAGTAGTGTTCAATCAAAATGTCTGCAATTTTTATTACTATATTGTTCAATCCTTGGGCTGGAAGTAAAGCAAAGGAAATCAGCTGAACATCTTCACTTCACTCTGTTCTCTACAGTTTCTCCTAACTGAGTCCACGATTGTTCATAAGCCTTCATTTCCTGGTTACATAGTCTATCTCATGTCACCCACTAGGTCCACTCCTCCCATCTAACTTCCATTGGAGAGGTTAACTTATGATGTGACTCAGTCGTTTCCTCAGTATGTTTTCAATCCATCCGCGTTTCCTGCTGCTAAACTTCCTTGCTACATATCCCCTCCGGTAGGCCGGCCAACGGATCTTCAGTGTCAACAGAAGACAGCTGTTAATAAAAGTCATCAGCCCGTATGAAATTCTTTTAACGATACACTCAGCCTCTGAAGCATATAGAATCAGTCATATCACATGAGTGTCGAAAATTTGAATCTTGCTGTTTATGCTGAGTTTTGTAGAGCTTAAAAACGATTTCAGACAATGGATCACCTATCTTGCATTTTCGATCCTAACTACCTTTTTCATCCCCATTCGTACCACCTGTGCATTTAGGCGAAACGGACGTCTTTCTTAAGATTTCTCTTGTCGATGGATATCAGTGTTTGTTGTCGGCAGCCACGTATTTTCACCATATTCACCTAAAGTCACTTCCTTTTTCGCCTCTTCTAAAAACTTGTTAATTTTTGCTTGTAAATATTCAACTTTATGAGACACAATACATAGGTCATCTGCTAAGTCCAGATCTTCAGGGTCCATTGTTGGTATGATGTTGAGACTACATCACCTCAGAGGCTTCACTGGGGTGTTCGTTGTGAATCCCCTGACATCGGACATTAGGATACAGCTGTTGAATGAGGTTTAAACATGTCTGACAGACTGCACTCACTAGTGTCAAAGGTGCTATGAAATTAGTTTGGGGGTCAACGTTTTGAAGGCAACTAAGAGTGACTCTTAGTGGAGTATCAAGAGAAATTACAACTTCAACCCATCAGTCCTATTGTAACAACAGAAGACAAGGGCCAGGCAACAGATCGTTTTATTATGAAAATCAACACGTATTTATACATATTTCACACACATTATTATAGCTTATGCAAGTAGACAAGCGCAGTCATCTGATTGGTTGTTTATCAGAAGTTAGGCAGACAAACGCAGGCTTCTGATTGGTTGTTTCGGGATTCCTCGACAAATAGAGTTCTCTATCTGCGAATCATATTTTGCCACGTTAACTTTGCTGTGATTGGTTGTTGAATCAGCCTTGTTCATATTTTCTCACGGCCTGCTCTCACCACACTATCATGATATCCGCAGTCAGTCGTCAAAACAAGCTCAACTGAACTCTTCTTACTGATATGTTGACTACTTTTTGACACTCTGTATTAAGGTCCACTTATCATACTCTAAAAGTACCACTTCCTTAGCGACTGATTTATATACCACTAATATATGGCTACAGAATTAAGTGTACAGGAAGTTTCTTTGAAATAATAGAGAATGCTTTTAGCTTGGTCGGATGATTTAGATTTGGTTGGGTTATCTGATATGGTTGTAGATCTAAGTATGAAACTTTCCTTGTCCTCCTTTTACAGAAAACATCGCTTCAGAGTAAATTTTAGTATGAAATGAATTGGATTCTCCATGAATGATGATATAATAGTATCTCCATACTGACAACCAATGGTTCTCCAACTAATGTCAGCTCATGATGAAATCCTGAAACCAATCAAATCCCTACAAACCATCACTTGAATACCAATGAGATGCTCACTGGCGACTGGCCCTATTCACGTAAGTAGTTACCTGGGTTCCAGTGGGAAGTCGTGACCAGTAGGGTGCAGCTGGTCGGGTGTGAGGACAAATACTCGCCGAAGACATTGGCTAGCGGTCGCGCTATGTCGTGAATTGGCAGAAGTTAGAATTCAAGGACCATTGGATCGGGTCCCAGTGGCTTAATGGTATACGAGTTCGCCTTGTAACCGGAAGGTCCTGGGTTCGAATCCCGGTGGGTGCGTACTGATGAAGAGTCCCAAACTAGGACGAAACAGCTGTCCAGTACTCCCAGGTTTTCCAATGGTTCTCTAACTAATGTCAGCTCATGATGAAATCC